GGTACTCAGTCCTGGGATGAAGGGGGTGCGTGTCAGGTTTCAGGGACTCCAGGCCATCTGTTCTGCCCGCCTACATTTTACTTCTGCAAAACTATAAACGCAACTCCACCCCAGGGGCTATAGAAAGGCATTAGAATTCTTCTGCTTTTCATTATCACAAGATTCAGTAACTCGTTTCATTGTCAAGCTAATCCCCTTTTACTCTTTCGCTTGCGCTTGCAGGGGATGCCAGAATAACAACTACAACCCCAGATGGGACAGACCCCATGAGGGCGCCACCTTGCCTGCAGCGTTGGGTTTAAGCTACTTGGGACGTAGTGTCAGAAACGACAGGACCCCGATGCCTACACCCAATATTCATTAAGGTTTGTTTGTGATTTGTATGACCGTCTACAACCTGCACTGCCCGTGCAATCCTCCGTGGTGGCTTAAGAGTTACGTGTGTCCCCTGGCTTTTACTGTCCCAGTTTTCATTTCCTATTGTGCCGGCACTAGAAAGAGATACTGTTTCTTTCAGAAAGGAACAAGAGTCTTTGGGGCGTTGTAAATGGCTTGTTATTGCTACCTATTGTTTTAGGGAACCACATCTGACTTAAAGGTTTATTTCCCACGTGGTCACACTTGCCGCCCTGCAGCCTCCCGGGGCTATGGCATTGGCTTCAGCGCTTTTCCTCAGGAGACGCAGTTGACCCTGGAATGGAAGACTGAAGCCCCACCGTGGATCAATTGATGCTCCGGGTCCCTTTTCCAATCCCGGAAGTGAGCCTTGATGATCTACTAGCCTGAGCTCGGTGAGCAGGAGAGAGGCACGCCTATACTTTCTCTGCCGTTGGTAATTTGGCTTGGTTTTGCTGACACACACACATCACCACATCTGGATGGCAGAGGTTGGGGTAGTGAAAGTTATTTAAACTACAGCTCTCTGACTAGGTGCTCAACTCACTCCTTTCTGCCGGGGTGCAAAGCCCCCTCAACTGCTCATGGACAGAGAGGTGCCCATCCGACAGCTAGTTCCTCAGCTCTGATGGAACTGTTTGCCACGGTGGCCTCACGCAGGCTCTGCCCTCCCCACTCTGTGGGCCCACCGTGTTCACAGTCTAGTTCCCTTTCCTCGTCTGCGGGGAAAGAGCCGATCCGAAACACTCCCAGGAGAGAATCCCACAGCCTCCAGCCCAGCTATTTCGCAGCTCAGAACTGTGTACCCAGGCTGGCCGAAATCTAAGGGGTGCTGCCCTAACAGAGCCATAATTTACTCTGACAAGGGGCGCAGACATCTGCAGCTCACTCCCACCCGGCCCGTATAAAGGACTACACCGCCAGCTCAGAATTTATAGCTACGTGCTTACGGTTTCTCCAAACACCATCCTCCAAACGGTTAAAAAAAAAAAAAAGATGTGTGTGAACGCGCAATGGGGGATGGAGGGGTATTGTTTTTAAAAGAACTTGTCATAGAGTGGGGTTGGATAGAATGGTTAGCAAATGAAATGTTACTTACCTGAAACTATTTCATAAAATAAGTAAAATTTCTCAAAGAGATTCATTTAGTTACTGGCACACAGCCGTGGGCTTTTCTATATTATACACCAACTTTACAAGTGCAAGCAGTCCACAAAAATCAGAGCTGTAGGGACACTTTACCAAAGACAACGGGGAAACATATACTTTGTCTAGCAGAAAGACAATTAAGTTCTGGAAAGTCAGTGCTATACTAGCATCGGTAGAGTTGACCCAAAAGAAAGAAAGGGAAGAAAAAGAAATCAAGTCCCTTGCAATTCTCACAGAACACAAGAGAAGGCTTAGAGAACGGCTAAGATTTGTGTTGTTCCTGCAAAACAAAAAATCTTGAATCCTTTCATTTTGGTGAAGATAGAAATTCCTCTAAACCTCCTGAGTAAACAACGTCTAACAATTTAGTCTTAACTTTTTGGAAATGAACTTGGCAACATTCAGATTGAATGAGCAGTGCCATGTCTCTGGGAAGTGAAGTGGACTTTGCTCTTTCACTCTCTCGTTACTCTCCTTTCCAGTATACCTCCCACAAGCCCGCCAGTGGAAGTGGTTCAAAAGCGAAAATCATTAGGCAGACTCACAATATTCCTCAGACCTTTCCCAACTGCGGACACATGCCTAGGACCCATTCTCAATTGTGTTTCTCTGATTACTACTTAGCACAGAAGGTTTCTCGAGCAGTACAAATCTATTTCAGCTCTCAAATTAAAACTCATCTGGAAAGGACCGTCTTACCCTGTTTATATAACATTGTCACATAAAGAGTGTAAAAAAAATACTTCCCTAAAAATAGCTCGCGTAAGTTAGGGATTAGCGTAGTTTCTGCTGCTGTAATTGTTCCTTTGTAGTTTTTCCTCGATGTTTTGCACAGTGTTTTGACTGTGTTTATTAAAGTCAGCACATCAAAAAGGATCAAAGGGAAAGTGAGTGAGAACCAAAGAAACCTCAAGTGTGTTGTCTCACTGGGGAGTTATGCAGATTCGCATAAACAAGTGAAAATTGTTGAGGTTTTAATGAAAATTTTCTACAATTATTTTATCTTAAGTCACCCTATACAATAACATCTGTGCAGCAGATGGCTATACTGTACCAAGGCCGTGTTCCTCTTTCTTTCTGTTTAAGAGTACATCTGAGATGACGACTTTTGTCACCGTGCTCCATTTGGTTCAGCAAATCATTTGAAAAGTGCAGCTGCCGCAGATGGTCACAACAGTTATATAAACTGTAAAATCAAAGACACAGTGAAGCATTTCTGCAATAGATCCAAATTATAAAAATCTGACATTTGTTCCGTGGGGCTCAGGATACACTATAAAAGATTTTAGCTCAAGGCAGAACTATGCCACTTGAAAAACACAGAAAGGACGAAGACTACTGGTAAGATTTTTTTGCAGGGGGTGGGTGGAGAAGAGCGCTAGGGGACTTTTTTTTGTTTTAAACCACGTACTAAACCAATATACCTTGAATATGTATTTTGCATATATTTTATCTCAAGTAATAACTTTTTAAGATACTGAACTACACAATCAACTGACTATGTGAAGCCTACATTATATGTTTGCTACTGCTGTATTTAGCAACAAATTATACTTTGGAAAACATCTGGAAACCTCTCAGATTAACTTTTCCTACAATCCCGCCTCAGCATGAACTACAGACAACACAATCTTATGATCAGTTGAGAACTTTTATCATTTAAATTATCATTCAGCTGGCTCTATGATCACCTTCAATTGTTTAAGCATCCTGTTATAGAAAACAAAAATACATCATTTGGGTTTTGTTATGGTCTCATAATAAAAATCTTCCTCCTAGAAGGTAGCTTCCATTTTGATTTGGTGGGCTGACAGAACTGTCTGGGGGTGTTTGCTGGGCACTGCATACGAGCATGAAATAAAGGACCGCTTAGTCAAAGCCAGAGCTTCTCTGGCTGCGTTTAACTAGATTCAAGGACACAGTTCGATGCGAAGTGCATTTCTACATTTCTAATGAGTCCACCAACGGGTACAGCTCAATGAGTGAAGGGTTTGCATTATATTCTGGGGCTATTTACCAAGTCCGACACTGCAGAACGTGGGTAAGCTAGGAGCCACGGATGGGCAGCCAAGACTGTGAAGATGGAAAAAGAGAGCGTGCCAGAGTTCTGGGGACAAGACATTTAGGTTTGTTAACTCGGCGGAGTCCTCAGCCTTCCCCTCCGATGACTAAGGTACAGCTGACAAGGCGTGGGAACTGGCCCAGTGTTGCGATTTATTTGTGGAAAAAAGCAGCCATCACAGCCCCCACTGTTTCATGGTCTTCCATGTCCCATGAACTTTACATTTTTCACTTCTAAACTTTTAAGACACACACAAAAAAAGCCATAGAGCTTTTAGCTGGCTTGGTCACAAATATTTCTGGTGAGGAGGAAATAAATCACCTAATTTTTTTTGGCTTAGGGCTCATACTTCTCAACTATAAACCCTTTTCTTTATCTCTTAAACTGCCTGTGCCCACACTGGCTCTTTGGAGCCCAGTTACAGGTCGTCTCCAGCTGCCACTGACTTCCTTTTTGACCAAGCAACTCAGCTGTCTCCAGCAGGAGGACAGCCTTTATCGTCTGCACTAGCCCCCAGCCTTGGCTAAATATTAACGTGGGGGTGGGGGGGGGATTTCCCTTTGGCTACTCTTATTCTCGAAGCACAGTTTCTGGCCTTGTGCCCTGACCTTTTACAGTAGCCACTCCTGTGAATGAAGACTGCGATTTCCCACCTGTGCCTGCCTCCCCCTACCCGCCCCCACACCCACCCCGCTACTCTTACATTCCTACTGCCCACCCTTTTGAATTCAGTGTGAAAGATGCACACAGTTGAATCGGGGAAACAGGAGAGAAAAATGGAGGTGTCACTGTGAGTTAACTTCTCCCTTCTCACCCATCAGCGACACTCAGTCTGCGGGGGTGGCCTCTCGGTGAGGTGGGACACAGAAGCCCCAGGGGGTCCCGGGCAGCTGCCCCCTTTCCCCGGCAGATGTGGCTCCCTGACATTCCTCCCCTGCGCTACCCTTGTAAGGTTGAACCCTGGCTCTTGTTACCCTTTGTGGAGCATTCCTGCCACTGCCAGTGTTTTGCTTTCTCACTAAAATGCTCCCAGTGACACAGCACAGTGCATGAGCATCATCACCTGCGGGGCTCCTTGAAAGGTGAACTGCTGGGCTCTGTGCCCACAAGGTCTGATGCGGGAAGTCTGGGGTGGGGTCTGAGAGGCTGCATTTCTGACAAGTTCCCAGATGGGGCTGATGCAGTTGGCCCTGAGACCACACTTGGAGAGCCACTACTCTGATGGCTCACAAAATCTGACCCTTTATTTTCCTACTGCAGCTAGTTGAGGTAAAAAGAAATGTTGCAATTCACAGCTTTTGAAACGGCGATAGGAATGTCTTCGAGACGTGGATGAGAAGTGTTTAGTTTATAGCACTGAATTTGCTATGAAGTGATCTCAAAAATAACTTACCGGGTGCTTTTTGTGCAGCTTTCAGAGTAAGGCTCCCACTGAGGCTGGATAAAGAAGCTAACAGGCACGGTTTGCTGGGGTGGGGGACTGTTTCCATGGAGACCACAATCTGAGTTGTTCGGACAGCAATTTTCTGAAAGCCTGAAACAGCTCGCCACAGGTTCTCCGGAAGTGGAGTTCGCTGTGCTCCATCACCATGAGCTTCAGGCTGGGGCCACTTCCCTCGGTGACATTTGGAGACTGGAAGGTCATCCTTGTTGGGCATAGGGTCTGCCCAGGCTGATGTCGCTGGGCTGGGGGGGACGCTCTGTTCATTTGTTATCTTCTTTACAAAATGCTTTATCTGATCCAGCTTGGTAAAACTCAGGTTGGCTTTCAAAGGCTTTGATATATCCAGGTGGATGTCTGCTATAGAATGGAGACAGATAAGAAAATTACTGAAGTTTTCTTATTACATAAAAGCCTTTATTTTCCTGTCAAGCTCTTACTCAATAGCCCAAGACCTATGCCGTGGGCTCAAGATGTCAGAAGGTTGTTTTTCTTCACTTTTTACCGAACTATTCTTCCCGCGTACTTGGTTACTTGAAGGTAGACTTTTCCTGGACAACTTAGGTGTCTAGATGCCTAAAATTCCTGACAAACATGTGACTGTCTGCTCCCAATATAGCAAGGGCCACACAGGAACATCCAGGCCACTTATTTATACTTCTGCCCTCCCACTCAGTTTGCTACTTACCTGAGGCTGGCATCCTTCATACTCATCTTAATACTTAATACTACTTACTCCCATAATACTTATCACAAACACTGTGGTTTAGAGGTTATACTTTGGGCTGCTGTCCTCGGGATTAGCAGTTAGAAACCACCAGCAGCTCTGTGGGAGAAAGATGAGGCTCTGTACTCCCACAAAGAGTTCAGTTTTAGAAATCCATGGAAGTTATTCTACTCTGCCCATCAATCAGAACTGACTGAGTTTTGTTTGACTTTTGTTCAAATGACTGACTGAAGTAGCCCACATAACGCACACATCATCTAATCAAGCATGTGTGCTCTGTTGCTCATCAGAGAACCCCCACCTTTCTCTACATTCTGCATGAATAAAAACTCCAATACCTTACCTAAAGTTGAGATTTCTGAATGCCTATAGGCATTTTATACATGTTAGTTACTAATCTCATGTCAACTTGAGGATATTAAGAGTGAAGGGGTGGAGTCTAGCCTGTCAATCAGGTAACAGCCGGATGATGCTTCCTGTGGTCATGGCTTTCTCATGAGGATACTGGAAACTTCCTCTCTTTCTACTGGGAGACAAGACACTCACTCTCTCTGCATCACCTTCCGGCCGAGGAGGCACAGTCAGAAAGATGGAGCAGCCAGACTGAGATGCTTCTACCACCACCGACTCTACCAGCTTTGAACCCACCGGCCTGTGATCTTCCTGCATTTGGCATCATTGCATGTGCTAGGTGAGTCTGAGAGGAATTTAGGGACTAGTAATGGACATATGGGCTAATACTGGACTTATGGACTTGATATCGGCTGGGATGTGTTCTCAATATATAGCTGTTCTTTGATATAAAACTCTCTCTTACATATCAATGTCCCTGGATTTGTTTCTCTAGTCAACGTGAACTAACACATTTTAGTTCCAGGAGTAGGGTAGTGTTTTGTTCTTACTGGAATAGACACCTACTCTGGATATAGATTTGCCTTCCCTGCATGCAATATTTCTGCCAAAGCTACCATTTGTGGACTTACAAAATGCCTTATCTACCAGCATGGCATCCCACATAGCATTGCTTCAAATCAAAGAACTCACTTCACAGCAAATGAACTGCGGCAATGGGCCCATGCCCATGGAATCCACTGGTTGTATCATGTTCCTCATCATCCTGATGGCTTGATAGAACAATAGAATGGCCTCCTAAAAACACAACTACGATGCTAGTTAAGTAGCAACACCTGGTGGGGCTGGGGCAATGTTCTCCAGGAAGCTGTATATGGTCTAAACCAGCGGTCAATATGTGGTGTTCTATTTTCAATAGCCAGGATCCATGGGTCCAGGAACCAAGAGATGGAAGCCAGAGTGGCACTACTCTATTATTCCTCGTGACCCACTTGCAGCATTTTTGCTTCTGTCCCAGCAACCCTGTGTTCCTCAGGCCTGGAGGTCCTGGTCCCGAAGGAAGGAACACTCCCACCTGGAAACACAGCACTGATTCCACTGAACTGGCAGCTAAGAATGGCCCCCTGGCCACTTTGGGCACCACGTTCCTTTGGATCAACAGGTCAAGAAGGGTGTCAATGTACTGAGTGGCGTGATTGATCCCAATTACAAAGGGGAAATTGGACTGGTGCTACATAATGGAGGTAAAGATGTCTGAAATCCAGATTCCCTAGGCTGCCTCTTAGTACTACCATGCTCTGTGATTACAGTAAATGGTAAACTACAGCAGCCCAATCCTGAGAGTACTGTTAACGACCCAGATTCCTCAGGAATGAAGGTCTGGGTCAGGCCACCAGGCAAAGAACAATAACCAGCTGAGGTGCTGGTTGAGGGCAAAGGTAATAAAGAATGGGTAAGTTCTACCTATCAGTTATGACCACATGATCAATTGTAAAAGTGGGGTTTGTGATTGTCAATATATTTTTCTTTATATGTGCTTATTGAATATCTTTCCTTTGTTCATGTACAATACACCAGATACAAAAAGATTCACTGTGTTTTCATTTATATGTATGACAGATAGATGATGTTAGGTGTGTGACTTCATTAATGTCTGGAAATTATATATAGCTAAAGAATTGTGTACAAGTGTCAAGCTGGCAAGGTGTGGACTGTGATAGTTAGGTTTATTGTGTCAACTTGGCTTCCATAGGACCATGTGGGCAGAGTTGAATCAGGTCACAGCTTGATTGGAGGGCAACAAGATTAATGGCTACCCAAAGCCTGCCCCCTTCTTTCATTCTCCCTGGTGATTGGACCAGTGCTCTGCTGCCTGAGCTAGACCTTTGTCTCAACTGTGTGTTGCACTACTGTGGACTAAGCCAACCCATGGATCGTGTTGCCTTGCTGTGCACTGCTGATGTTCCATCAAGACCTGCCTGGCCATGCTGCTGGTGAGTGTATCACTTGAGCTCGAGGATGGTGGACTGTGTCACTGTGCATACAACTTGAGACCCCATCTTGGCCTGCTTCACTAAGCTCTTGTGCTACTGACTGTTGCTGCCCCATTCTGCTGTCTGCTGCTTGTGGCTGACTTTGCCTGTCTTGCCTAAGGGCAGACTCTGCTGTTTGCTTCCTTGACCTTGGATTGGCAGCCTGTGTGAGTTGAACTGCTGTGTGGATCAATTAGCCACCATATTCCTTCTTGATGTATACATACATATTCTTAGGGGTCCTGGTTTTGTTTCTCTAGAGAACCCTACCTAACACAACACACTACCAACAGTTATTGTCTTTACTTGTCACTTGATAAACCCAACTGCTTATAATTATTATGGCTGTTTCTATCATTATGTCTCACCCTGTATTTTATGAAATTTATAGTAGACACAAGACTGGAAGCACCACAAAGGCAGAAAACATCATATGTCCTTATAGCCCAGTGCCTAGCACAGTATGTCTTGCCTAAGGTACGTGGTCAGTGTATGTTTGCACTAATCCAACCCTAACAAATCTTCTTTTAATTGGAGACTGAGGACAATAACAGAAGAAATAACCCCAGGTGAAGGTAGGAGTAGTAAAGTTCTTAAGCAGATAAGGTTAATACTTTTATTATTTGATTGACACCTACCTTCAGATGTTGGGAATTTTAGATTTCCTCCTGCCTTCTCCTGCTCCCTCCCAGACCCATCCCTTTGAAGCATGCCCTCCCTTGGGCTTTGCCTTTGGGCTTCCTTCCTCGGGCCTAGCAAAACTCTGAGCCAGGTCCTGTGTGCTGATAGTTCAAGTCATCTTTATGCAATACTAGCAAGGTTCCTACTCCATAGATATAACAGGATTTAAAAAAACCCTTAGAGCAATTGTTCTTTTTTTTTTTTTTTAATATTACATTGGCATATAACTCATTACCCTGTGCTGTTGGGTCATTTCTATCTTTAAAACATACTATTTTGAATAATGGTGCCATGAATATTTCTATGCAAGTTTTGTGTGGACATATGTTTTCAGTCTTCGTTGGTGTAGACCTAGGAGTGGAACTGCTGAGTCATGTTTGATTATAGCCATCCTAATAGGCATGATGTGGTATCCCATTTGAATAATGGTGCCACGAACATTTGTTTTGTATGGACATATGTTTTCAATCTTCTCTGGTATATACCTAGGAGTGGAATTACTGAGTCATATTTGATTAGAGTCATCCTACTGGGTGTGAAGTGGTACCCCACTGTGGCTCTGATTAGTATTTCCCTGGTGACTAATGATGCTTAACCCCTTTTCATGTGTTTTTTTGTGCATCCTGTTGGGGAAATGGCTGTTTCAGATCTTTTGTCCAGTTTTTAATTGGGTTATCTGTCTTTTTATTATTACTATTTGTGTGCGTTCTTTATATATTCTAGATACAAGTCCCATATAAGCTATATAACTTGCAAGTATCTCTTCATGCTTGATAAATGGGCTATTTTCTTTCTTGGATTATATAATTTGCAACACACAAAAAGGTTTTAATTTTTGTAAAATCCAATTGACCTATCCCCTCTTTCATCACTTGTGCTTTTAGTACTTTGGTTAAGAAACCATTATGCATGCTTTCTTCCAAGAGCTTTATCATGTTCTCTCTCATATATCTGTGCCATTTATTGGAAAGCAGACTTTATGACTTCCAGAACTGGAGAATCCCTGGTGTTGAAGTAGTTACACATTGGGCTGCAATCTACACGGTTGGCAGTTCGAACCATCAACAGTCCCGAGGGAGTTTCTATTCCTGTAAACAGTTACAGTCCAGGAAACCTACAGTGGGGTCACTATGAGTCAGCCCTGACTTAATGAGAGTGAACTTCGTTGGTTAGGTACGAGGCTGATGGGAAATAACAGAAGTTGTAATGTTCTACACATTTATACATCCTTGTATGTGGGCTTCCAAATCATTTTCACAGAAAATAATACATACCTTTCACCTCAGTGAAGAACAAAGAACAACCTTCACAACTGTAACAACACCAGAAAATCAGAACACAGCTAAGCAAAAAGAGTAAGATGTTGGGGCCAGATGCTACATGCTTTTTACCAGGATTCATAACATAAAGATTTAAACTAAGAGTCAGAAATGCTGACTGTAGTTATAAAAACAGCTCAGTCATCAACCACAAAGATGCCAAGATACTGAGCCACACCAACTGCCAGACTTAAGGAAGCCCCTTTCCCTGACTGTGACCTGGGAAACATCCATGGAGTCATATGCAAG